TCTCTTGATGTCCAGGGCAGTGAGCTTGCTGAACACTCTTCTCACTGTCCTGAGGATCTCAAATTCGACCTCATGATCGCTGCAACCAAGTCTTCCCTGGAGTGTTACATTTCCAACCAGCCCTTCTGTGTTGGTGAGCATGATGTCAAGCATGGCACCTCTCCTTGTCAGCTCCTCTATTACTTGCAGAAGGAAGTTGTCTTCCACAGAAGGTAAATGGATCTCAAAAAACTTATCTGTGAGAACCATGATCAGGGAAGCCGTTATAGTTCTTTGGAGTGCAACTGAGGGTCCATCTCAAGTGCCTACAGGCAATGTACAAATATAGGAAAGACAGAAGGAGTAAGGATTCTATGTGCTTTCTTAGTACTACAGCCTCCTACCAGAAGAATAATGTAGACAGATATAGCTCAAATTAATGGTATGCTGGAATGGATGGATGCAAGCTCCCTGGAAATACAGGCAGGGGAGATGAGGAGTCTGGCCTGAACTTCATGCAAAGCAGTATCTTGAACGCATGGATCTTTGCTATGAAATGAGTGATGCACTACTCAAGCTGATGGGGCAGGATGAAAACAGAACCATGTAAAGAAATACTGCGATGGGTTTCTGCTACAAACAGCTTGATCCAAAAAAAGTTTATGAACTCATCTTTAGGAAACTGGAAAAAAGACTCATGAACACAGGCCTTAGTTCACGTGAGGGTATTATTACAACCCTAACTTTTGTTGAAAAGACAACATGGAAAAACACAAAAATCTCAGAACACACATAGGTTTTGGACCATACAACAGTTGAGTATAGTTTTTTGAAACAATTGCAAGGGGAAACTAGGGGAGGTACTTACCTGGATTCTCTATTCATGATAAGCAAGAGGTGGCTTGGGACATAAATGTCAAAACCAGCTTTGGCAACAATGGCAATGAGATGATGGGGTTTATAGTCCTGAGAGAAATGAGAAATTCAAGTAGTAGAATCGTGATTTTGGACTTCAGTGAACTGACTTCAGTTTGCTCAGGGATCTGCTTGGCAAGCACCCATTAGAGATAGCACTCAAGGGAAAACTGATTTGTCTTAGGCCCACTGATTTATTTTAAAAGACAGTTTCCTCAAAGCAGTTCTTTCCAGCATGCAGAAACTAAAGCAGTTGTGACTGATGGAAAAATGGACAAATGGAGAACTCCTGCCTCTGCTTAAAGAGAAGAATTGCATGGAAGGTAGATGCAGTGGTGAGCTACCTCTTCACCCAGACATCCAGTCATGTGGGAACAGAATTAGGAAAGCTAAAGGGCAGGTGAGGCTAAAACTATAAAGAGAAGTAAGGACAAGAAGAAAGATTCTTATAAGTCTACCAGTAATGAAGATGGAGAAAAATGTGATCACATTGCTGAATTGACAAAGGACATGGAAAAGTCTGAGATACTCAATGTCTTCTTCAGGCTGTTTTTCCACCAGTGGAAAAGCTGAGATTTTTCAAGCTGGAGAATAAAGTTTCAGAGATACCTAACAGAAGGCTAACATTTAATATGAGCTAATAGAGGAGACAGATTCAGGCTCCTTTTCTCAGAGCACACAGTGAAAGCCATCAATCCAAGATTTCATAAAAAAGCCCCAACAAAACAGTGTAGAAAGAAAAAACAGAAAAATCTGAGTATGTAATTGAATCAGCAGAGCGAAATATTTGAAATAAGGTAATATTTTTCTGGAATATATAGTTAACTCATGAAACTTTGCCACAAGATACTGAGATTAAAAATTTTAAATCCATCAACATTCTTAGACAGAACTGTGCACAGTCCTATTTATACTGGACAGGTATTTGTAAATAATATAAACCTGTGGCCTTTAGGACATATATCCTCACTGTTTCTTATTGCATCCTGATTTTCCAGTTGTTCACAAAATCTCTGCTGTGTTCTCATACAAAAACTGGCAGTACCTACCATTGGAGAAGAATACCATAATTGGGAAGAACTGGAGAACTATTGCACTGTTGCATGACTTTTACTTTATCTACCAGAAATGTATCCCTGCACAAACTCTTGGCATGTAAGAGGATGGGCAAATCTGTCTAAACATTCTTTCACCAACACAGAAAAAAAACAAATACTGCATTATAGATCATCTGACAGTTAGACTTATGATTGTGGGCCATGTGTTAAGTTTATTTGTGTAGGTGTGAACTCCACTTTAGGAATCAGCAGGGTTGTCACCCATGTCAAGCTGTTGTGATATAAAGATGAAAACTTCAGGGCAAAATCTCAATATGCCGTATGGCTGATTTTGCTGTGCAATTCCATGAATTCCAGACTTGAGACTGCTGGCTGCCTATGGCAGGATCATCCTGCACCAGAGAGATCACTGGTGACATAAAGACAGGTAACAACTTGTGCCGTTCTTTTTCTCCTCTGTCAGCAGGACTACTGGGGTCAAAGGGTTGATGTTTGTTTTTTTTTAACCTCAGTCTGTTCCTACTTGTTGGTTTTGCTATTAGAAGCCTTAAGAATTTAGCCTTTTTATGATTTATCTTATGGTAAGGAATCAGCTCACCTAAAATCCTACTGACATTTGGACAGTGCCTGTTTCATTATTGTGAAGAAGACCTGTTCATAGCCAATGTGCTACTACATGATTAACAGCTACCAGTAGAAAAAGAAAGGCAGCTGTTGTGGAACAGGCCAACAATATTTTTCTATAGTGACAGTATAAACAAAGGAGGAGATAGTGAGTTCAGCTGACTGCAGCCAATACCAAGAGTGTAACTGTGCACCTGACTGTCCTCTTGTATTGCAGAGCCCAGATCCTTTCATTGATAACACATCTCTGTAAATCTAAAAGTACATTTCCCAAGATAAAGTTGAATAACGTTCTATCTCATGGTCATCTTAATACTGAAGTTATCCAATGAGTGTTCTTCATCCTGTCACCACATCCTACAAATTTAAAGAATTTTAAGCTTTCAGTCAAATCATGGAATGGCACTAAGTGGCACTGTAGCTTGATCTCAATCTCTTTGCTGTAAAGTCTTATTCTTCTGAAACCATAATTGAATATTCAGTATATTCCTACAGAACAAACTAGCCACTTAACTGATTCAGTTTCTCCAAACTTATGTAAAAAAAGCCTCTATGAATTGCTGGTTCTGTTAATTAGTAACTGGTCTACAAATTTAAAGCTGCTGTATGCCATAAGTGACCTGTAAGATTGGTTGATTCTTTGTCAGGAATTCTTGTCTGAAATTTTGAGCCTGAAGAGAAGCTGAAAATTCTCAGTACTATTATCCATCACCTGAACATGCCTTTCCTTGTGTACCAGGTGCAGGTACCCAGGTTCAACCCCTCCACAGTCAAGGTGGTAGTTCGCTGGTGAAAACATGTATAAGGTTGAAATGCTGCACAGGCAGTGAGGAGTGAGGAAAAAAGTGTGAGAAACAACCCTGTGAGCACCACCCTGAGAGAAGAAGCAGGGGAGGAAGTGCTCCAGGCACCGGAATGGAGATTCCCCTGCAGCCTGTGGAGAAGACAATGGTCTATCAGGCTCCTGGCAGGAACTGTGTCCTTTGGGAGGTGCACATTTGAGCATGGGAGCAGTGTGAGAAGGAAGGTGGGGTGGAGGGGGACTGTAATGGACTGACCACTGTCGCCATTCACCACCCTTTTATGCTGCTCAGGGGCAGAGAGAAAGTAGAGGAGTCTAGAGTGAAGGAGTGGAGCCTGGGAAGAAGAGGGGGATGGAGGAAAGTGGCTTTATTTATGTTTTCATTTCTCACTATCCTATTCTATTTTCAATTGGTAATGAATTTGATCAGTTTTCCTCAAGTTGAGTCTGTTTTGCCCATGATGGTAATTGGTAAGTGATGGCACTATCTTTATCTTGACCCACAAGGTTTTCTATCTTATTTTTACCACCCTGTGTAGGAGGAGTGAGAGAGTATCTGGCTGTGTATCTGGCAGCCAGCTCAACCCACCACAACATAACTATATGGATCTGATTTTCCTCATGACTACCCAGGTGCTTTAGATTGTAGTGTCACATTGCCCATTACTGTTGTTAAGTTTACAGACTGTCTAAGGAAAAAGGAGATTGTCGGAGCATGGAGAATTTGCTCCAGGAAGGAATGCCTGGGCAGACAGAGCTGGGGCAAAGGAAATGGAGAAGTGGGTAGAGGGCACGGCGTGCAGCAAACCCTTTGGAGCTCCACCAGAAAGGTAGCTCAGCCTCAGCAGCCACAACAAGGCAGGGCTACAAAGGGGCTCACTGGGGCTTGTACACAGTTTGTTGGGACCCTGAAAGCCACTGGGCTCTGCATCTAATCCTGAAAGACAAGGTTTATATGAAGGCTACTGAAACCCAAGATCACCATCACATGATTTGTTGATTAGTTTAGCTAACATAATCTGTTATAAACCAGATTGTTTGTTAGGAAAGAGTAGAAATGGACTGTGTGACACTTTCTACTGTATGGTATTCTTGTAAATGATGGAAGTAGTTTCTCATTGTAAAACATATACATAATTTCAGTAAAATAATGTGTGTAGTCACAAATTTCAAGCAGAACAGTTATGCAAGGTTACTTGCATTTCATGCAGGATTACGGGTTAATGTATAAACAGCTTTTAGGGTAGCTGTGACAACAGAGTATCAAGAAAAAATACCAGGAGCCTCAAAACAAAATTTATTAATTATTCTGAAATATACATTATGAGCCTTTTTAGAGGACAAGGGTAAATGGAAAAACTAAAATATATTGAGATAGCTATTATGATTTTAAAATGTAATGTCATTATATAAACAAAACAGGAAAAAAATGTTTTTTTTTTGTTAGTAATTCTACAAAGCAGATAAATGTTTCTGCAGAGTAACATACATATCTGTACCTCTGAGACACTCCAACTCAATTTTAACCAGGGATATAAAGAAAATACAGCTTGTAATAGGCAGCAGCTGCAGGGATATGTTCATTAGTTAAACACTGACAGCTTTGCCATTTTTCTTTTCAGGTTTGAACTGTGAGTTTAGGCCTTGTGAGGCCAGCAATCCCTGTGAGAATGGAGCTGTGTGCATAGAAGAAATGAATTTGGACATTTTTCCCCTTGGATTCCAGTGCCAGTGTGTGAAGGGCTTTGCAGGTCCACGCTGTGAGATCAATGTCAATGAGTGCAGTTCTAACCCTTGCCTCCATGGATACTGCTATGACAGTGAGTTCAGTCTGGTTACTCACTTTAATGTAGAGTAGTCTTTCTGTTGAAGAGTCTGTAGCTACTGAGCTGCTCTGGGGAGAACAGTGGATAATTTACTGAAATTTAGCTTGTCTGATGCTCCACAGCCAGTACCAGAAGGATTATTTTTGCCAAAATGCTTCAACTCCTGGCACTGGGATTTCAGTGTTCAGGGGGTCAGAATTGCAGCTAATGAGAAATTTTAATGAGATTTGTGCTGTCTCCTTTGATACCTACATTAGCCAAACACGTCTTACATTGTGCACTTGATGAGAGAATATTCAGGTGCTGAAAAGGAGCTCATGGAGCAGTTAGTCAGTACATGTCATAATTCTGACGAGTCCAAAATGGTATTAAACATCAAACTGATGCAAATGGAGTGTCAGTTTACTGTTAAGCACCTTCTATAGTGTATAACTCTATAACTTAACACTTTCGCTAACAGATATATTTAAAGGTTTTAGAAGGAACTTGATGATGAATTATTCTACTATATTTTGTCTGGATTGGGAAGCTAAGTTCAGTAACATCTGTTAAGTATGAAGTATTTACTGGGAAGTTTTATGGGGCCATTGCCACCTATCAGACACTTTCTGTGCTTGGTTAAAAAAAAGTGGTACTTTTCAGAGAATCTTGCGGTGCTGGCTGGAAATCAGAATGGAGTCTGGAGGTCATGTAGTCAAATCCTCATGAAGCTGGACTATGAACAGTGCTAGAGCAGGCCAGTCAGGGATCTTTCTAGCTGAGTTTTGAAAACCTCTAAGGCTTCAAAACAGCCTATTCCACTGATGCACTGCACTTGTAATATTCCCCTGCCTCCCAATCCCATCCAAACCTCCTCAGCTGTAACTTTGGCTATTGCCCCTTATATTGTCTGACACTACTAAGAGGAATTCAGTTCTGCCATGTGTGTAATTGCCCTTGAACTCTAATTCTTCTATGATTCTATGATGATTCTGTGGTGAAAAAGGGAGAGAATTTTTATCATTAGCTTGTTAACGTTAAAATGAAGCTTGGAAATACATCATAGGTTAAGCAGACAAATTTAACTCAAGCAAGTTTTCTTTTAATATAGTGATATAAAGCATTCCTTGCCCCCCAGAAAAAGCCAACAAAACAAACATTTAACTTGCCCATCTCATTTAGGCACAATATCAGAGATAAAATCTTATGTACTTTGTGTACAGTTTTGTGATGGAAAATTACTCACTAGCCTATAAGATACCATCACTTTTTCAGAAGCTAGTAATGGGTCATTGATTTATAATTCTTATGTCAAAATACTTTAATTCTTTAAACAAATGCAGTACTTGATCTGCTTTCATATTTAAAAAGTATTTTGAGATATTGCATTTCATTTATTTCAATATTTTAACACGTCCACACCCCTTATGTAAAACCAGTCCAAATCTTTCTCCAGGTATTAGTCATAACTGTAACTTACTTAATTCTACTGCATTCTGTTGTTATGCTAAACCACTGTTACTACTAAAATACTCTCCCTGTTACAGTTGTGGATGGCTTCTATTGTTTGTGTAACCCAGGATATGCAGGACTGAAATGTGACCAGGACATTGATGACTGCATAATCAATTCTTGTGAACACAATTCTACATGCGTTGATCTACATCTGGTCAGTAGAGAGTACTTTTTTACTTCAAATGATTGCTGAGTTTTCCTACTGAAAGCTAAGGTAATCCTGTTGCAAGTTCTAAACCTCCACTTAATCCATACACCTGTCAAGAGTGTTATAATTGTGCTTTCCAGTCACTGTTGTTGGTTTTTGTTGTTTGGGTTTTTTGTTTTTTTTTATTTATTTGTAATGGTACAAGCTGTGGGAAAGAACAATGTTTTTATAATTTAAAAGCAGTTCTTGAGCCAACATGGTAATTTGGGGAATTCAAAAGGAGCATAATATTTTTATCTAGGTCTGTTTATGGACTCAAAGTGACAGCAATACTCACACTGACAACATTACCTTCAAATGGGCTTAAAAAGCATCTTACCCCCAAAAATGGGTTTAAGTACTTCAGGATTTATTTTCAGAATTCTTCAGCTATATTATTTCTGAAACATGAAGAGTATTGAAAATAGCTTCTCAGAAATAAAAACGTTCTATCAATTAAGAGATTAGTCTGTCTGGGTGGCATATTCAGAATTTTAAGTTTTATGTATTATAAAGGTTCTCAATACCATGTAATTCACATCCAAAAATTATGTAAAACACATAGTGAGCAGCAGCAAGAAGGATAGTAACACAGTGTTTTGCTTAGCTAACTGTAGAGAGAAGCTGGAATGCAGCAACTGTATTCTCAATATTCTAACAGTGGAGTGCTCTGAGACTGTATACCAACACATAAGCACAAATGGTTATAACTGAGGAATTACAAAACTCTCTCTGAGCTGCTCAGATAAAATCTGGGACATCAATTGTGTATTCAGTTCCCAAATTTGTTCATTCAGTGAGATGGACAGATCCTTGGGTGACTTGGTCTAGGTTAAGGCATCCCTGTCTATTGCAGGGGGGGCTGGAATTAGATTATTTTAAGGTCCTTTCTAACCCTCACTGTTCTACAACTATGTGAATCTATGGCTAGGCATTAGATTAAGCAAATGTGATGATAAGGAAATACTATGTGAATTACTGACATCCAGATATACAGAATTAACAGCCGATTTTTATAACATAGAAAAGTCATCTTAACAACATATCAACTCAAATAATATGTGACAAATTATAAAATGCTTTTCTATAGAAGTATCATGGAAGAAGAAGTAATTTTATCTATTGCAACTTATCAGAGACATGAGTAAGAGGAACTAATCAGAGCAGACACTTCCTTCATTAAGTCACCTCGGCCAGCAAAAACTAAAAGCTGCCAATATTAGTACTATTAGCACAGCTACCTATCCTATATATTCTCAGTCATCAATCAGCTCAACCAGAATTGTCTTTTTTTTGTAGCCCGAATATAAAAATTTCAAGACACTGAAAAATGAGATTGGTATTGGAAAGGTTGGTCTGATAGTAGTTGCCTTTCATAATCATTTATCTTTTTGTTGTTGGTAATTACAAAATAAATCTGATTAAGGTCTAAGTGTCTTTATTTTCACTCTAGCAAGAAGCATTTGGTGAGCCTTGCATAAAACAGTGTGAAATCTTGGATTTTCATTCATGTGGAAATAATTCAATTGTTCAGTCAAACTGATAGATCAAAATAATAGGATGAGAGAAGTATGAGAACAGTTGAAAGGCTACAGTGTTGTCACTGTGAAAGAGAGGGGTGCAGTCCTCATGAACTGCCAAAGAGTAAAGGGGTGAAGCTTTCTGCATTCACTGTATACGTAATGAATAAAAACAGAATAAAACTGAAATATATAAACAGCAAAATATTTTACTAAAAAAGCTATTATTGGATATTAGCCTCTGGCTTTGCTTATGGTAAGGCAGGATTTACCCAAGATAATTTGCAAATTGTTCTAAAAGAAGTTAAAATAATTAATTCCAAGTATAGTATAAAGTTGAGATATTGTCCCTAATAACTTTTATAAGATCAAATGGATCATACAGTAGCTCTGACTTCAGTTTTTGTTTGTACTGTTCTGTATGTGAAAATATAATGTAAATCCTGTCACTTTAGTGTATATGGATATCCATGCAGCAAATTGTTATAGATGTTTCTTCAGAGCTTTGTTTGTGGAAGCTATTATTTCTATATACCTACCAGATAGTAAATGAAAAAATATTAGCTGTATGTAAACTTACAGTTGTATAATACTTCTTTTATTTCAATTCCATATCCTCCTTATGTTTAACTCTCTGCCACTGCTTGAGTCAAACCACAATTATTTCTCTTTCAATAAAACACAGTGTTATGTAAAGGAGCTCTCCAGCACACTAACAGAACTGTCAATTTGAACCTAAAGAAGCTATGATTACTTGTACAGTTTCTTGTTTTTTAAGTGGAAGGAAAAAGGTTTCATAACAAGGTGAAATGCAGTAATTCAGGTCTTTTAGGAACCTACATTTTGCATTAGGGAAGGTTTATGTGAAACATGGAGAGAGAGAACTATTAATTTTTTTATTCTTTTATTGTTTTTCCACTCACACAAAAATATATTCAGAGTTGACAGGCAGGAGGTCTATTCCACAGATCATATCTGAAGAGTGTAACCCACAAGTAGGTTAGCTTATTACATAAGTTATGAAAGGAGGATTAATTGAAAAAAAAATCTCTGGCATTGAAAACTAGGGTAAAAGCAGTAGTTAACTGTTAACAGTTTACATTACCCAAAAGAAATTAGTCAGGTCTTTGGACTGACCTAATTTCCTAAATCTGTCATCCATCCTTAATTTCAGTTTAAGACAGAATTTCCTGTACATTCTGCTAAATAGGAAAAAGAAACAGAATCATCTCCAAAACATATAATTCATTATAGAACATCCAGAGATGCTCAAGGTATAGTGAAGTAGCTTACTTTAAGGAGGCTGTTGCTCATTGCTGATGCTAGCAGGTGGTCTGACACTTGAAATAAGGATAAAGAGTAGATATGCCTGTGTCAACAAAAAATTTCCAGATTTCTATGGGAGTGGAAATTCTCTAAGGTCTTAATAAAGCGAGCAAGTTTTGCCACTGAAATTGGTCTGAAACAGTACCTAAGTTTAACTAAAGGTCAGAGCACACACTATGAATGGCATACAGCATACAACAAGCAATAAGCTCCTTAAAGTTCCCAGGTCACGTACATGCAAGTTGTATGTGACAAAGTTGCACATTTAACTTTGCTGAGAGAATCCATCTGCTGAAACTGTGAATGTCCTGTTTGACAAATCAGCTTCAGATTACCAATCACTCATCCCAGAAAAGAGCTATACAGCAGCGGGAGTTCACTTAAGAGACTAACAACCGCAGCAGTACTTCTGCAAAGTACTGTTGCTAATACAGCTCACTCTGCTGCCCTGAAAATTTGACTTGCCATACCTGATATATTTCATTTAATTAAAAAGAATGAACAGTGTCCTCATAGGCCTTCAATAAAAATTTTTGAAGAAGATCGAGTTAAGTAACACCCTCCTCTGCCTTGTACTATAGGGCTAGTGGATATAGCAGTACACAGACTAAAAACTTAATCATTATGCGATGTACTCCAGTTGAGTCAAAGACACTGGAATGCACAAAATTAACTATTGATGTACTGACTTAGGATAATGTCCTTAATATTGATCTGTGGAATTATACATTAATTGGATAAAGTGATTATGATGTCTAATTGCAAGTTGAAGTCAGAAAGCAAGCATCAACTTTCCATTTATTCTTTTTATTTACTACATTATTTTAAATGCTTTAATTTAGGTTTTTTTTTTTTTTAAGAAATTGAAGACACATATGAAAAGTCTTAGGTTTAACCAACAATGTCAGTAAATACCACAGGAGTAAAACCCTTTAATTGCCTTTTCAAAAACTGAATTTGAAATACTCTACAGAACAGAATAAAAGTGCTATAAAGTGGAGGAAAGGGAGATTAAGAGAAAGTTAAAGGTAGGATTTCCAATAAGATGTGTGAACAGATGGCATATCAATGTGATAAAGATACAGGAAGGTGGTCCCAGATGGTGTGCTGTGAGCTCTGCCAGCAGCAAGGAGGATGGACAGAAAAAATCAGCAACAGCAGGGAAAGAAGTGAAAACTTCACAACATAAGATACAGGGTGAAGAACTGTGGCCTGTTTTTGGAAAGCATTACCCTAAATTAGATTTTTGTATGATATAGAGACAAATATTTGTTTGAGGTGGGACATGAAGTGATTGTACCTTCAAAAGCATTAAAAACCCAGCATCAGTATTAAAGAGATTTGAGATTACAGAGACTTCTTTGACTCATAAGGAAGATAATTCTACACAAAAAAGTTTAGCTGCAGAGAAGTGGATACAATATATTGTCTGTCTTTAGTAGATCTATAGAGCAGAAAGTCACTGAGGGGTAGGAGCCCACAATAGCCCCCAGTAATAACTCTGAAATCAATTAAATAGCAAAATTTCTAGGTTGTTATTTGGTCTTTGAAAACTGCTTGCATACATCTTTACAATACAGCATGCAAGAATTAAGATCTAATTTATTTTTCAGTAAAATTATGATGAACTAATTGATTTACTGTAGGATAAGTCTGAGCATCAGGACTGTTACTGAAAAGGAGCTCTCAGACTGTAATTTCACACCCCAATTTTTATCACAGTAAGTCATTGTCTCTAAAGTCAAGCCAGATGAGTCTGGTAGAAATATTTAAGCTTCATCTACACCAATTTCTGAGAGCAGCAATGGTCATTTTCTCATGAAAATATTATTTTGTGTCTGTGTATTTTGTTTTAATGTATTTTTTGACATTTGTCATCAAAAAAACTAAGTATCTTGCAAATATTTAGTTTTCAGTTTAAAACATAACACCTATTTGCTTCAGTTGCAGGTGTTGAGTGTTCAGCAGTTCTAAAAATCACGCTTTAAGCTGAAAATTCAGAAAAAAAAACCAGGAGGAATTAATTTCTACCTATAAAAATAAAGTTGCTGAACCAACTTCAGCTAAAGTGTGATTTATTTTAATTTTCTCAGTGTAATATTCAACTGAAACCAGAAAACT